AGGCTCTCCCCACACCTGTCCCTCTTTCAGGCTTCTCACAAATGCCCCTCCATGAGGTCTGTCCTGCTCACTATGGTACCCCTGGGATGGAACCAGAGCATAGCTCAACAAATGCCAGCTGAGCTAGTGAGCCAAAAAGCCTGCACTGTTGAGCCCCAGGTATGGGACCTAGCGTTTGTAACCTTCTGAAATATGCACTCCTTCTCCTCTTTGCAATTCTTTTTCTCACCACCATCATGTTACCGCCAACAAACAACCCAACAGCAAGCTCAGTCACCTAATAGTAAGTCCCCAGCCACCACCTGGAAATGGCATAGGGGTGAGGAGACACCCACTAGCCCTCTCAGAGAATAACATGGTCTGGGTGTCCTCCCTCTGGGGCCCAAGTCACTCGAAGATTCAGGCCTGAACTGGGCTCAGCTCGGTGCCCTGCACATCAGGACCTGTGAGGATTCCCAAAGGGGCACATGCTAGGTCTTGGGAGCACCCACTTCCAACGGTGAAGGAGCCCTGAGTGCCCAATGAGCCCATGAGGGCGACCTGAAGCTCAAGCCGCTCAATCTTCATCACTGACCATATCCGTTCAGCCGACACCACTCAGGGGTAGGGGCAGGGCCTCTGGATGCTGGGCACCCACATTACTGCCAGAAGAGTGGGAAAGCCGTCTTCACAGGCCTCTAGGCAGCTAGCACCAAACTTTCTCACCAACTAAACCGGAACCGTAGTCGGTGTAGTATGTGGTGTCACTTGGGAAAACAAGCTCAGTGCTGGCATCCAACTCATTTCAAAATATAGCTCTCCCAACAAAACTAAGCTCTTAAGAGATTAATAAAATTAAAAAGCAGGGTGACCACTTGCCAAATTGACTCCAGCCCTTTCTGAGCGTCGGGCTCTAACATGCAAATGCTGTCTTCTCAATACATTCCCTCCACTCAGCATTTGGGTCCCCTCAGAAAGCAGACTAGGCCAATGAGGGGACCTTCCAACCGTGGCCCAAGGCTTCCCAGTACTTCAGGGAATGTGCCTGGCCTATCCATGAAAGGAAATGGTACATATGGAAGATCAGGTGTGTGAGCTCAGTGCTGGTAAAGGTGAGGGTGCACCGACAACAGGCAGACCTCTGAGGACAGTAAATGGACCAGTGCAGTCAGCATGGCCCCATGCAGCAAGCCCCTACGTGCACTGTCCACTTCCGGAGCTCAGACAGGTGAACAGGGCACTGACATCTGGCTGGGGTGGGTGAGTTGGGAATGCATGGTCCCTCTGTGGTCACATAAAGGGGATGCTAGCAGGTCACACACTGAGTCCTGTGGTCCCCACACCTGCAAGCCCCTCCCCAGCCTGGAGCCCAGGCCGTCACCACCCCACAAGAGCCCAGCCACCTCCAGGCAGCATAGAACAGCAGGATAGCTTCATGACAGCACCAGGCGACCTGGAGCCTATCCACAGAGCCATGGCTCAACCCCTATGTTACCCTGCAAGGGCCCTAAAAGTGCTCAGGCAAAGGGTCAGAACTGACACCCTCATGAGGTAGAATGACCCCCACACTGGGCGTGGGCCCAGACACCAGCATGAGAAACACAAGTTCAAGGTGGGATCCTTCCAGGAGGCATTACCCAACCCTGCAATAACAGTCTTCTGTGGGGAGGAGGTAGCACAGAGGACCTAAGACTCTGTCTCCCTTGAAGGTAGGGGTCCACTGATGGGAGGAGCAGTACCAGCAGAGGGGTCTGAAAACAAGGCTCTCTCCAACTTCCCAAGGAGGCACAGGAGAAGCAGGTGGTCCAGGAAAGGCCAACAGGCTGCTTCCAACTAGAGTTCCAGATACTGGCCAGATCTGGGCTGGCTGCCTTTTCTCTACTCAGGACTCACACTGGCAGAGAAGGCAGCAGGTGAGAGAGTACCCTGAGCGACCTGGGACAGTATAGGTAGTCCAGACTTGCTCCTCCACCCCATGACAAGTCCCTAGCTCCCCGAGCAATGATGGGACAGGGTCTGTGTGGGACCAGGACAAAGAACATGGGACATGGGAAACATGAGCCAGAGTGAGGACAATGGTTCTGGGTGCATCTGCACTTCCTCCATTGCTACTGTAACATGTTCGGATGCCAGGACTAAAGGTTTATTCAAAAGAAAAGAAACAGAGAAGTAATACTTTAGAAGTGCTTTCCCCCAAAATGAGTGTCATCTCTGGACATCTGGAGAAGTCAGTAGGTGACACATATCACTGTCCTTCACTATAAGATGAATACGTATTGCTCTCTCTCTGCAAAGCCCTTTCATCACTGATCTGGAAGAAAACTGGAAATCACAGGGATATTACATCCTCCAAGCCAGACTCCAGGTCCAGAGATGGCAGCCTTTCCTTCCCTTGGTAGGGAACCCTGGAAAAAGCAAGCAGGCAAAGCCATCTCAGTTCTGGGGGAGGCCAACAGTGCCAATGCCCCCCTGCATCCCAAGGCTGAGAGAATGAAAGACGTTGGAAGGTGAGATTTGGGCATTCTAAAGCTGCTGGCCAAAGCACTTCTCGGGTAAGAAGAGGGTATGAGGGCCAGAAGAATCCTACAAAGCTCCCTGTGCTGAAGGCCATGCTCCAGGTGACCAGCCCTCCACTGGGAGGGAGCTCTGATGCCCGGGAATCCTGGGAGCCCCTGAATGGAAAAAGAACATTTCCACACAGTGAATCCCTCCTCAAGCACAGTCAGAATGCCACCTGTTGCCCTCACCCCAATGCACAGTGGTCCAAGAGGACTAACCTGGCACCCTATCTTCCATACTCATCTCCAATCCTAAGTAGATGGCCATACCACACTAGGGGCCTCCTGCCATGATGCTGCGATCCCCGTCTGCCATCTATGCTCCCGCCGGTGACCTTGGGGAGCTCCTCAAGAATAAAGTGGGGTAAACAGCAAGCCTCCTGATCAGTGAGGAGGAGGCTAGACACACAGCAGGTTCTCAGCTGCTGTCCTAAGCTGGTCCCCCTCAGCCCCACCCAATAGAAGTAGCTGATCTCAAATGTTGCACATCGGCCTGGGGCGAACATTAACAGTACCCTCTTATTGGGGAAGGTAAAGGGGCGGTTTCCCTGCCCAGCTTAGGGCTCCCGGTAACTCCTGATGAATGAACATCACCAGACAGACAGGAAGCCATCTCTGATCTTTCCACTACCACCCAGGGTAAAAGACCCCTGAACAGTAGCAGCCTTCGCCTCTGTGAGCTCTGCACAGGAACCTAGAGGCAGAGCCACCTGCCTTGCCCTAAAGGGAATGGGAAATAACAACCTCCTCCTCCAAGGGTCACAGCACCTACAACACCTCAACCAGATCGCCAGGGGTCCGCTGCTAAGGTCTAACCCAGATCCTACCTGCCACAGCACTCCTACTCCTGTCTTCCTTTCTGCATGTGCATTCCACACAAAGCACGAGTGGGTGCTTGGAATGCCACACCAGGCCGCTTGGCAAGAGTGAGAAGGTGGGGAGGGAAGGCGCAAGGCCATGCTCCCGAAATAGGAATCCTCTCCCGCACCCTCCCCCCCACCAATCTTCCCTCTCTGATGCCCACTCATTCCCATGTCATCCCAATACACCCCAAGTACTCCAGGCCTCCTCTCAGCAGGGCCATGGGGAGAGGAACTGTCAGACTCTCCTGAAGGACTCCCTGGGATGCCCACATTTCCATGGCAGAACCAAGGGGCTTCAGGAAGGAGTGACCTCTGGAGTTCTTTGTCTCAAGAGAAAGGCTGAGGGCAGGTAAGCACCACCAAATTAGCCCAGCATGAGCTCTTGCCC